GTGCACACCCCAAGAGCTCCTGCCCCAAGCCTACCGCCTCGGCCGTGACGCGGTCAACAAGGCGGGGTTTGAGTCCAANAGCATCGCGGCAAAGAACAAGTTGAACAGCAGTGGGGTCAGGTTGCATTCTTGTCGGGGTGTGCACACCCCAAGAGCTCCTGCCCCAAGCCTACCGCCTCGGCCGTGACGCGGTCAACAAGGCGGGGTTTGAGTCCAATCTTCCCAAGGTGAACTGCGTTGTCAAGAGACGGGAATCCCGCCGCACGTTCACGCCCCGGGGAGAAGCTCAAGCGCACGAGGTTGCCGGAGATGGGGATGGTGCTTACCACGCCTTGCTGAAAGGTATCCAGGCGAGTCTTTGACAGACGAACGTGCGTGTTCCACGAATGTCTGATGGTGTGAAGAGTGCCCTCAAACACAGCATAATCTCCCACATCCTAGGACCATCAGCGTCGCAAGCGGTCATGACCACTCTGCTTTCGACTGAGCAGACGCGTCGGGCTCGCGCTCTTCAGTGCACTGAAACTTTCCGGATGCATCCGTATGAGCTGAACACACCTGAACCCGCGGACAAAGGCGTGATGACCTACGGTTGGCTGGATTCGATAGTGCAAGAGAAGCTACGGACGGAGTGGCTGGACTTGTGCTGGCTTTCACTCATCCCCGAAATGTGCGGGGTCAACATTGCGGATTGGGGGCCTACCGGGAGAGGGCAGTTGGTGCAGCTGTACAAGAAGAACATTNCAAGAGAAGCTACGGACGGAGTGGCTGGACTTGTGCTGGCTTTCACTCATCCCCGAAATGTACGGGGTCGACATTGCGGTTTGGAAGCCTACCGGGAGAGGGCAGTTGGTGCAGCTGTACAAGAAGAACATGTGGGGCCTGTTTCTGTTTGACAAAAAAATCAAGCACGACGAAGAGGGGCATAAGTGGGTGCACCTGTTATACCGCAGCGGGAGTAGTTGGGAAGCGAGAACCGAAGTTGGGGGTGACGAAAATACGGTGTCTCGCCACAACCACTTTGACTTTCTGGAGCTCGGTGCCGATTTTGAAGCTGAGTTCGACGCTATCATCTCCGTCGCCCGGTCTGGAGGAGAGGGCGACGGCGACACTTCGCTGCCGTCACCTGTGCCGGTGAAAAGGAGGAGGGCGGCTGGGAGTGCGGAGACGACGTTGAAGCAGCAACGCACGAGCACGAAGAAGTCGCAGCTGGAAGATGACGATGGGCCGCTGGCGCAATCGAAGCGCAAGCGGACGGCGAAGAGCGATGGGGGTAGCAAGAAAAAACAAGGGCCAAGCGGAGAACGCAAGGGGAAGTCAGGGGGAGGTGGCGCGGCCGGCAGCACGGGGGGGGGCAACTACGACTCCGATGGGAGCATTGGCGACGAGGGTACGGACTGGACTTATCTCGGATGCAGAGGCGCGCTCCCTTCTCTCACAAGGAGTCAACAGTTGCTGCGGCGCAAGCTGAATAAGATCCCTGAACCAGCGTACAAGGCGGCGTTCAAACGTACGAGCATCATGAAAGCGAAGGCCGAAAAGGTGTGTTCTGTGTCCCGCGTTCCTCTTGTGATCGTGTGTGATTGCGCATCCGTTAGGGTGTGCTTGTAGGAGTGTGTGCCTTTTGTCTTGTGTCGGCGACTGATGTGTCGTGTTATGTTCCGTACCTGGTTGAACTTCTGGTTGACGTGCATTGTTTGGGGCAGTGACACATAATTGCAATGGCCTCTGGTGATCTATTCTTTGTTTCCGCGGGTCTTTTGCTGCGGTGTTGTGTTGTTGTTGTTGTTGTTTGTCTTCACATTAAACCGTATGTCAGTTGCTAAATGCCAAAATCTAGCAAAAGATTCTCAGCCCGTGGTCACGAAAGTGCTAGAGCCATCTGAGGATCTAAAGAACACGCACACATCTGACGAGAAAAAGGTATGCAAGAGCCCGAAGAGGTACACCTAAAAATCCCTGCAGCACCGTATGCGTGCCCAAAAACTGAACTGCACGTCCGTCCCACCGTTCGACTACAGTAGCATCACCCCCTCCCTGTCCCACTCTATACCAAAACGGAAGATTGCCGACTACAGCATAATGCTGTCTGAAGTGCTGTCTGTACAAAAACACCATGGTAGGCATGGAACAAG